CAATCTCTAAGAAGCTCTACTAAAGAACGTGATTTAGGAGTCATTTTTACATCTAACCTCAAGTGGAGCGCTCATATTCAAACAGTTGTCTCTAAGTCCTTACAAATTCTCGGTATGCTGAAAAAGACATTCACTTTCATTGATGAAAAAATGGCTCTCAAATTATATAAAGTATTTATAAGACCACATCTTGAATATGGAGTGTCCATTTGGGCTCCTTTTTTAAAAGCTGATATGGCTTTGGTTGAATCTGTTCAACGCAAAGCTACAAAATGGGCTTACAGCTTGAGGCATCTTCAATACTGCGAAAGGCTAAAAAGATTAAACCTACCATCACTTGAGTTTCGACGCCTTCGATGCGATTTAATCCAAATTTTTAAATTAATACATCGTTTTGATATAGTTAATGATAAATATCTACCAAAATTTATTAACTCCGTGTCTCGTGGTCACCATTCTAAAATAAGGCGTGAGTATGTTCTAAACTGTCTTCCAAGATATAATCATTTGTATAATAGATCAGCAAAATACTGGAATGAACTACCAGAGCAAATAACTTTGTACTCCACTGTAGTTTCTTTCAAAAATAGACTAGACTCCTGGTTGTGGAAAAAGTTTGGAACAAATATTTATAAAACTGGTTGTTTATAGTGGGGTGTTTCCCCTGCTCGCTGTATGTGTACATTCTATGTAAATTTACGGCTACAACTATAATAATAATAATAATAATTATGTTCCACAAATTAGTTCTAATTGTCAGATGATATTTTTTTAATTAATGTTATTTTTTGAGCTTATATTACCATGTGGTCTGGGTAATGTGAGCAATTTCGCTGCTTTTTTAAAACCTCTATGTTTTTAAGAAACAATTTCGGGTGCCCAAATATTTTTTTTTTTTTTTTTTTTTTTTTTTATAATTTAGCCGTACAAATATTTACAAGTTCCGTAATTTAAAATATTTAAAAATGGCAAGGACGAGAAGAAGACGGGGTTGTCTTATCACCAAGTCCCTTGTTTGTCTAGACATTTATATAAATACATGGTAACTAAAATGAAAATTAAAAAATTAAGAAAAAAGCAAAATATTACAAAGAAGTTTATATAAAATGCCAAATAGTTTAATAGTTCAAAGTTTTGAAAGATATTTTTTCGATTTTATTTTTTGAAAGAAAAATTTAAAAGTTCATTCAGAAAAACAAAAATATCAAAAAACTAAAAAACATGAAAAAAGTAAACGTAAAATTTAATTTACAATCTGTTCTTATAAAGTGTAATATATTAATTCCTCAAAAACAAATTACAAAATATTAATATAAAAAATTAAAACTCAAAAAAGATTACTTTTTTTATTTTTCCTCTCTCTCTCTTATTTAAGAAAACTAATAAATTTATTTAAACTCATGAAATCTAAAAATGCTAAAAATCTTTATAAGTACTTTTTTTATAATATAACAGACTGTAATACCTATATAAAATTAAAGAATTTAGACCTTCCAGACAAATAAAGTATGCATTAGTAGATAGTTTTAAAATATAATATTTTTATAGATAGATTTAAAAATAATTATCTGTTTGTTCATTATTTAAAAGTAATAGTTTTAGTTTTTGTTTAAACTGATCAAGAGTTTTAAGTGTTTTAATATCATTACTGATTATCTTATTCCATGCATTAGGTCCTCTAACAGTTATTGAAAACTTGGTGGAGTCGTATATAGTTTTGGGTTGAACAAAGTTGTTGTTAGAATATTTATGTGGATAATGAGTATAAGTAGTGGATAAATATCTATGTGGATAATGAGTAGCGGATCCCTAAAAATTGCTTATTTGCAAAAATTTTGGATCCAGCATAATTATTTTTGAAATTATTTTAATTTTTATTTAAGGTGCTCATATCTTAATCAACTATAACTGATAATTGTTTTGAAGTTTTTACTAAATAATACCAATTGTCTGGTATAACTTCTGCTTGTCACATTTGGAATTGCGATGAAATGGGTTTTTGTGATGATCAAGGCAAAGCAACTGCAGTATGTCGAAAAGTTGCAAATCGTGGTTTGAAACTCACTGGTAACCAGGGATGTGGAGTCGTAAGAAAAAGTAACGACTCCGACTTCAGTTGTTGAAATTTTTTGAGTACAACTCCGACTCTAACTCCGATTCCAACTCCGACTCCAACTCCAAAACAAAATTTTTGAAAAATTCTTTGAATTCTTTAAAAAATATTATGCAATAAGTTAAAAACAATTTTTTGACAAATTTATGAAACGTTCTCTGAGATTTAGTATGAACATAAGGTTAATTTAATGTTTTATACATGCACGTGCAATACCGAGAAGTTTTACTATTGGAATCGGAGTCGCGATTTTGTTTAGCGTCTCCGACTCCGCTAAAAATATTGCAACTATGACTCCGACTCCGCTCCACAGCTCTGCTGGTAGGGTAATGCGGTGCAAAATGAGACAACGGGGCAATACGAGACAGTTTGCGTTTAACATAATGCCAGCCCTACAAATTATTATTTGCAAGATTTTTAAAAGTGCAGTTGTGTTCAAAAACTATTTTGTGTCAAGAAAAATATATTGAGTCACTTTGAAATAAAAAAGTTGAGTAAAAGGGGAGTCATTTCATCCCTCGGCTTCGCGAAAATTACGAATTTTTAAGAGTTGTTATTATATTTTTTCCTAGCCTTTTTTGATCTCACTGAGTGGAAAAGCTTTTTATATTTAAAGTTTTTTTTTAATTAGAATCTTTAGGCCTATTCCTTTCATTTCCATTCTTTCGTATTTTATTTCTTCAATAAAATAGTCTGGAAATTAGGCTATTCGATGCCAACATGATGCGGGGCAAAACGAGACATTCTGTTTGTATTTTTTTTTTTGCCGATATCTTATATTATGTTTATTTATTTTTTTACATTAAAACAACAACCAAAGCAAATATTAATATTTACATGCTGTAGATTTAAATTTATTATACTGTATTTACTTACTTTTTATTTTGTTAATTGAAATGTTTAGTTGTTATCCAATATAGAATTACGTTTTATATTTTGTTAACTTATATTTAAATATAATAAATATTTAATCAAATTGAAGCAAATAATTGCCTGATGTTTATAATTACTATGTTTGTATTTTATAATCTTATTGTATTGTAATGTAATAAAGTAAGTAGTATATATTATATATAGTGAGTAGATTATAACATAGGTTATTGCAGTACCTATAAACAAAATACAATGAATGTTATGCGTGCTTTAAATACATAAGTTTAATATATGCATGTATGGTTTTATTAGTTCTTGTAGTGGATATATATATATATATATATATATATATATATATATATATATATATATATATATATATATATATATATATATATATATATATAAGTGGAGTCAATTTCCAAAATGCACAACCTGGGCTCATTCGGACTGTTGTTTGTTTCAAAATACTGGTTAAGCAATATGTGATTTATGTGACTAGTGACATTTTGATTATAGCTGTAATATATTATAAAATGTATTTCTTGCTAATCCTTTTAAAAATATGTTTTTTTTAACTTTATTTATTTAAATTACTAAAAAAAAAAATCTGTCTCATTTTGCCCCGGTATGCGGGGCAAAATGAGACAGGATAGGTGCTGTCAATAAATGATCTCTGGTGACCAAACTACTGCAGTTTTGCAACTCATACTTTTTAGGCTTCAAGTAGGATCGTAGAAGAATTGAAAAATATCAATTTATTTTTTCAAAAGTTGTTAGACGGGCCTGTAATTAGATATATTAGTACTATTAGTAAGTTAGACGGGCCTATAATTAGATATAATAGACGGGCCAATAATTAGATATATTACCGCTTAAGTGTCTCATTTTGCCCCTCGTTACACTAATAATAAAAAAATCCATTATACAGTGAACAATTGCTGTAATGCTGATGAATACTTTACATCACCATTCTTGGTATCCAAAGAAAAACAAAATTTTAGAGCTGAGTGGGTTTTAGGTGGTCCCACTGGCACCAAATATTCAATTTCTAATTCTGGTTGGATGGAGAATGACACAATTGTTGAATGGTTGAAGGAAGTGTATATACCAGAATGTCAAGCTATTAGTGGTACTGATATTTTACATCTTGATGGACATACGTCTCACGTCAATTTAGCAGCTGTATAGCTTTGCCGAGAAAACAATATAATTTTGATTTTTCTACTAGCCCACTCATCTTACATTCTTCAGCCTCTGGTAGAGTTGTCTATTGCTATGTTAAGCAAGCGTGGAAGGCAGTTCTTACCAAATATTACAAGGACACAAAATGCAAAAACATAAATAAAGAAAATTTTCCTCCGCTCAAACAGGTGTATGAGAGCGGAAAGTGCTTTACACGTTTGCACGCTTTTGCTGGTTTTGAATATACTGGGTTATTTCCACTTAACAAAAACAAAAATATTTAACAGGCATTAACTTTCCGAAAAATTAACTAGAAATCTCCGAAACGTTTAATCAACTGGCATATAAAAATATATGCATTTAAATACATAAAATGTTAAATTTATTAAATGTATTTAATAAATTTTATATTTTATATTGATCATTTTAACAAAATTTCTGCCAAAAGCGATTTTTTTTTTTTTCTTTTGGTTTTTATATTTTCAAATAAAATTAAAACAAAAATTAATAATGAGCTTTTTGGTTTTTTTATCTTTTTAAAAAAAATAGTTTAAAATTTTTAAAAAAATAAGTTAGTTAATTTTTATTGTTCGACGATCGGTTCGACTCGCTTTTACTTTTTAATTTGTTTACCGCTTTTTTTCTGCAACTTTTTTACTTATAAATTAAGTTTCCATTCAAAAGAACAAGATTATTCTCAGGTACATATCACTATCAATAATTTAAGTTTTTCAAAAAGTGGAGATAGAATAAGATAATTCTAACGTCGCGCTATGTTTCACTAAAATAAACTCTTTTAAATTATTATAGTAAAAATGTAGAAGCTTACCACCAATGATGACAAAAACTGTAAAACATGTCAATCCAAACGTACGAGGTCGAAAGATAACAAATATACAGTACAAAATTCCAGCAATAAAGAATCCTAATGCTATAGCGCAGAGTGCTCTCACATACGTAAAGAAACCTTAATGGGAGATAAAAATTTCATTTATATTTTAAAGTCTTAGCAACAGTTTCAATTATTTTAAACAAACCATATTATTATATTTTAATTATATAAAATTTAATTAATATAAAATTAAAAAAATGTAAACGTGTCATAGGTATACTGCGAAAAAAATCCCGTTTATTGAGTAAAATGTCGAAAAATTGTTTTTTAACTCAAAAAAACTGTTTTTTAACTTGTTAAAAAAATGTTTTCCTTTTTCATTTGATAAACTACCTTATGCATTTTATTAACGTAAAACATTTTTAATTTGGATTTTTTTCTTAATTTATCAAAAGTTGTTGACTTTGAATCTAAAGTTAAGAGAAAATGAATGAATGATAATGAAACGCGGTATAATTAAAACGGTATAATTAAGATATTACGTCACTAACTTATTCAATTTTAGACATTTTTTAAATGCAATTTTTTAAAGCTGTTTGAAAAAAAAAAAAATTCTAAAAATTTTTTTTTTAATTTTTTATCAAAAAAATATCAGATTTTTGTATTATTCACATTTTGTATTAAACGTTACAAAATCTGTTTGAAAAAAGTATCATTCCATAATTATTTTTTTTAATTTTTTATTTCTATAACTTATATCATATATATAATGTCATTTATATTAATTTAAATTAACTTTTATACCAGTTTTTGTTTCATTCAAGTTTTTTATTAAAAAATATGAATACAAAAGTGTACAATACTGTTTGATATTAAAAAGTCAACATAGTAATGGTTTAATATTAAAATGTTAACATCGTAAAGCTTTAACATAAAAATGTTAACATCGTAATGGTTTCACATTAAAATGTTAACGTCGTAATGGTTTCACATTGAAATGTTAACATGGTATTGATTTCACATTAAAATGTTAATATTTTAATGGTTTTACATTACATTTTGCTGTTCTAAGTAATTTTTTGAAAAATTTAAACAAAACGAGGAAAATACCAGGTAAAGAATTGTTGGAAAGTTCTTCGCAAGATGTTTCCCCATTTAGTTTTTTACACTTTCGCCACAATCCTGAAAAAACTCCTTGGTGTTCTGTCCAATTGTCTGTATTCATACTAACAAGAAGACATAAAACAGCACTTATTAAAAAGAACAGTATTGTTAAACGAACTTTCAGTTCTTCCATTTTTTTTAATACTTTAGTTTAAGTTCTTTTTTTTTTCTTTTAATTTATTCACTCTTTTTAGTTTCTCTGCTAACAGCGCGTTGCCAGGGTGACGCGGACGTAGTTCTATACTTCTTTAAAATTTTAAGAAACTTTGTGAATACGCGTTAATAAATTTATTCACGCTTTCCATGGCCTACTTAAATTACACGGCCTGATTTATTTCATTTTACAGTAAAAAAATAGGAGGCCAGTTACGGCCTATGTTTAAAAATTTTTAGTTATGACTTGTGTTTGCACGATGTTTTATTCTTATTTTATTAAATGGTCAAATATTAGTATATTTCAAAATATGCAATATATAATGTATATTAGTTAAATATAAATAATAACGAAGTTATTTTTGCGCAAAAGTACACTGCCATTAAAACCATGGAAGTATAAAACAGATTGAAGTTCAACCGTATTGAAATTCTTCGGGACTAAGCTTGTAACCTTTTGTTTCGTAAACAATAAGAAAACGATATCAAGACTGTACTTACCACTTAATCTTTTTTTTTTTTTTTTTTTTTTTTTGCCAAATAATTTTATTAATAATACAAATTTTAACATATTACAAATTTAGCGGCAGGACTTCTAGAAGGTCATGAGGATCTTATCATGAAGCCCTTTACAATGCATTTTAGTATCGAGTATAATATAATATAAATACGTAATATTATAATGAAGTTATAAAAATTCGTAAAATAACAAAGATAATATGAAGTTTAACAAAACACAGTAATAAAAAGTAATAAAATAAAAACCATTAAATACATAAGTTTGCAAAGAACTCATGGAAATATTCGTAAATAGTAAAACATAATACAATAAAGTATAATATATCAGCAATAAATTGATAAAAACTCAAAAATAGATAAAGATGTTTTCAATTGAAAAGATAATTTCTTTAATTTTGGTTTTGAATGAGGAGTAGTTTAGTTTGATTGAAAAGTCAAAATTAGGTAAAACTATTTTGTTCCAAAGAAGAGGTCCACAATAGGACATACAAAATTCGTCGTATTTAGTTTTGCAAAAAGGAGCATTAAGATTGTTGTCAATTCGTAAATTATATTTGTTTTTCGGTTTTAAAGAATAAAGATATTGAAATACCTGTGGAGATAAATTTTCTTTACACTTGAACATAAAGCATAAAATATTAAAAATATTAAGTTGATAAAAATTCAAAGCTTTCATATCTTTAAGAAGTGGCGAAGAGTGAGTAAGACGATTTTTAAAATTAATTGCGCGAGCTGCGTGTTTCTGATGATTAAAAAGAGTTTTAAGTTTTGTCTTTTGAGTGCTTCCCCATATAACATTTGCATTGTTTATATGACAGTGAACAAATGAATAGTACAGTTGAGTCAGCTGCCGTTTATTTAGTATGTTTCTAGCTTTATAAAGAATACCGATTCATTTGGAAACTCTAGAAGAGATAATGTTAATGTGATGTTTCCAAGTTAAATTTTCATCAATATAAATTCCTAGAAACTTTGTTACTTTTTCTCTTTTTATCATTACATTGTCAATATATAGTTCGGGTAACAAATGAGGTATACTATGTTTTTTATGGAGTGGATAAAAAAGTGTCCATTTAGTTTTAGCTGTGTTGAGAGATAACCTATTTATTTTGAACCAATCAGAAACTTTTTTTAATTCATTTGTCATGTTGTTGAAAAGAATATTAATATTTTCATGAGATAGAAATAAATTTGTGTCGTCTGCAAAGATTATTTTTGTTAGGCTTGAAGTTTTATGAAGATCATTTAGATATATTATAAAGAGAAGAGGTCCAAGTATGGAGCCTTGTGGAACACCACACGTTACATTCATTAACACTTGAGACGAGGATTCTTTATTATAAACATATTGCTTACGATTTGTAAGATAGCTTTTTAACCAATTGAGGGTGTTATCTTTTATTCCATATGATATAAATTTTTTTATTAGAATTTGATGGTTGACGGTATCAAAAGCTTTAGATAAGTCAATAAATACTCCTAATGTGAAATGAGATTTTTTAAAAGATTCTGAGATGTCGCGCGTAAGTTGGAGAATAGCGTGTTCTGTTGAATTGTTTTTTTTAAAACCAAATTGGTTTTCGTATAAGATTTTATTATTAATTAGATGGTCGTAAATTCGATTGAACATTATTTTTTCTAGTATTTTTGAAAAGACTGAAAGAACTGAAATAGGGCGATAATTATTTATGTTTGTATGATCTTTATACATTGACCCAAATAGGTGCGTTTATAATATTTTAAAAATATAGTATTTTGAAGGTTATAATAATATTCAATAAAAACATTAAAAATGGCGCAACGAAACCGCAAACAACAACTTTTTTATAAACTTTTTCATATTTAATGAATGTAGTACTACATGTATGAATGGAATTATGATATACAACTAATGAAACTTTAAATTTTAATTATTTAGAAAACATTTTTTTTGATTTTTCAAAAATTGTTTTAGTTGTCTTTTTAATCAAATGTCGTGTTATGACTTGAAGCAAAAAAGAAGCTTAAATTAACATGCTTTAAAAATCAAGTGGTTCTATTTAATTACCAAGTTTAAATAAACCTTTTGCTGAAAAATTGCAATTACTAATGGTTAAAACTTTGCAGCATATCCCTAGAATAATTAATTTTTTGATGTTTTAATAAAAATCATTTCAGGGACGACAAAGAAAGTTGAGGAAGATTTCATGTTAAGTGAACTTCAATCACAACTTTGTCAGCGTTAACCTAACTAATAGTACGTTTTGCAATTCTGTCCGCTTTCTCTATGCTATCTTTCTAACACGACTACTTCTGCCTTTCACTCTACATATATTCGTTCTTCCCAAACTCACCTTACTCTCGGTCCGTAGAGCGGGTTATGACGCTCCCTTCGGAGTCGAAACAAGTCTCTGCGGACCTAGGTAATGTGGCCTCCACAAGGCAATTAGCTGGCGGTGGATAAACCACAAAACCTTAAAAAATGATTTATTTTATAATATTATTTACATATTATAAAATAATATATATTGCATCTTCTACTATTGTGTGCAATCTTGTCTGCTTTCTCTATGCTATCTTTCTAGCTTGATTACTTCTGTCTTTCACTCTAACATATCTTCGTTCTTCTCAAATTCACTTACTCTTGGTCCTTAAAGCGGGTTATGACGCTCCTTGGAGAGCCAAACTTGTCTTTGCGGGCCTTGGTAATGTGACCTCTGTATGGCAACTAGCCGGAGGAGGATAAACCACAATACCTAAAAATCATTTCAGTGAATTTTGTTGTTTTTTGTCCAGTGAAACTTGTTTTTTTTTATTGTCGGTTACAAGCATACTCCCGAGACGACTTGAAATTGCTTTGATGTTTGCGGGTCAATGAACTTCCATCTGTTTTATACTTCCATGGTAAAACCAAAGCAAAAAATTTCAAACCTCTGCATTCTTTTGGATTTATTTAATATTATATTACGCGATGCAAGCGCTGAAAGTAAAAAAGTACAAGAATTTGTAAAAACATCTTAGATGAATGCCATCTTATGCAAGACAAGTTAATACTAGATAAGGTAATCAAATTTTTATTTATAATTCAACAAGCTATGCATTCTTTTTTCATCTTCAAAAATCATCTTCGTCAATACAAATGTTTAATATTTCTTTAAATAATTAGATTTATTTACCTAAAAATTAAAGTTTCCTTAAACTATTTATGTGAAGTTAAATGTGAAGGTAAATAACAAATAACTTATATTACTAAACAATAACATAATTAAACTATAAAAGACGAGGGAAAAAGTTACTTTAACGGCATTTAAAATTACTCTTTTATGTGAAGGAAATTTTTGGTTGAAAAAAAAAAAAAAAAGCGTGAACTAATATAAGTTTACTCCTTCAGTAACTTGAGTATCTGAAAACCTGATCTAACGTAACATCTTCAGTAACTTAAGTAGCATCTGAAAACCTGACCTAACGTATCATCTATATCTTTATATTGTAATATACAGTAATAAAAATTTAATCTCCTTTAAAGAACAACTTTCATTAATAGACTGGAACCATATTAATTTTGATTCAGATATAAACATTATATACAGTACCTTTTTAAAAACATTCTATGAAGTCTATGATGTAAATTTTCCCTTTTGTGAAATAATAAAAACAAAAGACATTATCTCCTTGGATTTCTAAAGGTCTTAAAAAATCTTCAAAACTCAAGCAAAAACTTTACGTTAAGTACTTAAAACCTAAATCCGAAAAACACAAAATAAATTACCAAATTTACAAAAATCTATTCGAAAAACTTCGCAAAAACGCCAAAAAAAAATACTATTCGGACTTGTTTAACAAATAGAAACATGATTTAAAGCGCGCATGGCAAATAATAAAAAAAAATCACAGGGAAAATAAAAGATAATGCTACTTCGCTACCACATACATTGAAAATTGGAAAAACTATATTAACTGAATCAAATTGCAATTGAATTGAGTAAACATTTTACAACTATAGGAACAAAATTATCTTACAGTATTCCAAATATAAACGATAAACACGTCAATGATGCGCAAAATCTCAGTAATTCAAACATAAATTATACTGAGTTAACTTATATCAAATTTGATGGTGCTTTTAAATCATAAAAAAGAAATAAGGGAACAGGATATGATGGCATTAATAGAAATATTATAATCGACTCTTACAACGTTATCAAAAACATTCTTTATAAAATAATTAGAGCATCAATAATTCAAGGATCTTTTCCAGATCATCTAAAGATAGCAAAGATAGTTTCTGCTTTCAAGACCGGCGAACATATTAATATGAATCACTTGATGTCCGTATTTTAATTCCATATTATACTGGCCTATTCGGTATAAACATCTTAAACAGACAATGTATGTAGCTATTCCCCAACAGCAAAATATAAACTTTGGTTATAATTGATTGTACGTTTAGTATTAAGCATACTTCAATAATCTCATAAAGCTTAATTAACTGTTTTATCAAATCAACCTTTTAGTCTAATTTTACGAGCTTCAGCATTTGTTCAGTTGACAATAGTTCTAACTTTA